CAGCAAACTGGCTACTGTTGGGTTGAATCGTCTTGTCTGAGATGGCAATATTGATTGGACGCTGATTAGCAAGCTCACCCTGCAGGTAGGGAGGAATGTATCGCTCAACTCGGAATTCGGTGACGTACGGATCTTGAGCATCTGTCTGCTCCTTGGGCATCTCAACAGGATTAGACCCAGCAACCATGACTGTTCCGTCGAGAAGGAGCAAGGCCACCGAATGGTAGAGACGAGGAATACTCGAGCTGGCAAGTGTCATGAATCTTTGGCCGAGAGGTTTGGTAGGGTTGTACAGAAGAGCCTCCAAAGTAGGACTGCCCATCAATCCGAAACCTTGGGCTCCACGATTGCCTCCGTTCAGCCAAAGGACAGTACCGTCTGGAAGCAGCGTTCCCTCGACCATTCCACGTCCCTCGGGCATTGAGTCCATCTCCCAAGCAGCATTGGTATTGAGGGGTTGAATGCGGCCACAGCTGGGATCAGTAGGGCTGGTAATGTCCTGATATGCACCTCCACCACAGATAACAATGTCAGGAGCCCAGTTGTTCTTGCTGGAAAGTGGCAACAGGACACTCCCACCAGTATTGGGGTAGGTTCGATAATCGCCTGGCAGGTCTGGGAGCTCCTTAACGATGGTGTTATAGCCAACGTTGAAGACCTGAGAAGCCTTGGATACGAAAACGAAGAGAGTACCATCGTTAAGAAGGTGGACGAACGGGTACATGTAATACGGCTGGTTCTTTTCTAGGATGCTCATGGGAATGTTGTTTCCTCGAGTGATGGCACTGGGGCTGAGGATCTCATAGGTGGGGTTGTTGTTGGCCAAAACGGTTGGGTTGAGGCCATTCAAACTTCCAGAAGCAACAAACACGGTACCGTCGGGCATGGTCTGCGCAGTTGCATACCAACGAGCGCTTGCAAGCTTGTTTCCTGGTTCATTCCAACTTTGTCCATTGAGACTAGCGTCTGTCGAAGATCTGCCGAGATATCGAATGGCAGTAAACCCATCACCGATGTTGGGATCAAGCCATGTCAATGGAGCATTTCCACCAACCGAAATGACACGTCCATCGGCTAGGAAAGTTCCTCCCGAGCAGAAGGCATTCGTCGAGTAGGCCAGTGGCACTACGTTGTTCGTGGCTGGGTCGTATTCAGAGGACATGGCGTAGTATCCATCAGCAGTCTTCAGTTGGGTATAGTTCTCAAGTTTGTCGAGAAAGAAGACGCGGCCATTTGGCATCAGACCGGCGTGCATAGCAGGAACCCCGGATTGGCCGATAACAACGAAACGCCCTCCGTTCGGTGCGAGTGGCGCAGGGCTTGGTCCAGGAGCTGCAATGGCTGGAGCATTGAGGCAATTGCCGGATTGACATCCAGCACCGCAATGTGCCGCCGTGTTCCCGCTGATCAAAGTCAGTATTAGGAATGTATCGAGAGCAAAGTGCTTACCAGAAGCCATACATGGAGCAGCAATTGCCGTTTGGCCAATTTCCGCAAACGGTGTTGCCATTTCCAGCTCCGCATGTACCATCTGTTGTTACCGCAGCAGTGGCGGTCATTCCTGGAGGCATAGTAGCCGAAACGCTGCCGATAATGGGTTCTTGGCTCGTAGTCGTGCCTCCGTTACCTGGTTGACCATCAGTACATCCATTCTGACAACCATTGGCGACAAGGCAGTGAGTGGGCGTGGATCCGCAGAATCTATAAAGAGTCTATCGTCAGCAAAGCTCAAGACTTATCAACAGCATTTTCAACAACGTGCCCATATTCTGAACAACAGCCACCATATGGTCCATTTGCAGCACAAGTCGCGCCTCCGAAGTCTTTGCCACATCTACCATCTAATCGAGGTGATGTTGGCGAGTTAGGAATTACTCCCCCAGTGCAGCCACTCTGGCAACCATTCGAAGGAAGGCAATGGCCTGTAGTATTTCCACAGAATCTTGAGGAATATGGTCAGATATTGATATTAATAGAGATATTTGCAACAAACAGAACAAGACGAAAAAGAATTTATAACCTACCCATATAAAGAGCAGCAAACACCATATGGACCTGCTGGGTCACATTTTGCATCGCCGAAACCTGTTCCGCACCTACCATCTGTGCGAGGAGCTGTACCGGAGTTGGGGTCAGTACCTGTGCATCCAGAAATACAGCCAGCCCCGCAATGACTACTCAGAGGTTAATTTCTCGGCCCGATTAGGAGTTTCATTGAACCTACTCCGCAGTATTGCCACACCAGCCGTATTGCTTCGAGAGTGTCAACCTATGTCTTCCATCCGTTTCAATGTTTCACCTACCGAGCAACATCCCCCAGTATACACCTTGCTGTTCGGATCGCAGATCGTGTTGCCGTGGGCAGGACCACAAGTACCGTCGGTCGAGAACACTGGGCCATCTCTCGCGTCGAGCTCCGGGTCTGCTGGACGGAATGACATCGAGTACTTGATTTCCTGGACCGGTACACAGCTACATTGTGTTAGGTCCCGCCCGCCGAGATCGAGAATTGACAAGACTCACTCTCCACTCTCAGTACACCATTGTCCTCGAAGGCAGCCGTGGTACATCTGCGTGCTGGTCTGGTTGCACTGCAGCGGGACGTGAGTGAAGATGATATTGGCAGATGTGAAGGCCGTGAGGCCGAGGAGGAGAGTTGAAGTCTTCATGGTTGGTAATTCCTGGGAAGAAGGCGTGTCAGTTGGTAGGAATAGGAATTGGAAAAATGCTGATAATGGCAGTGACTTTGTTCAGGCCAGGTGTGATGTGTTGACCGAGCCGTTTGCTGTCCTCCGGCACCGTGCATGGGCAACTGCGTCGCGCTGGCAACCGCTCTGGAGACGATCGGATAATTGCAATTTGCATACGATCGCGAGGGAGAAACAGTAGGAGACTTACGGTAGCAGAAGTAGGAGGATTAGATATTAAGTGCGTTGCACGCCTTACTGATCGAATTGTATTCAGGAATTGATTTGGAAGAAATGAGAGTGGGGAAAAGAATGTACTGCAAGGCTCAATATGAGGATGAAGTTATAGAGGCCTTGCAAAGGACAAAGGTGAAAGGATGTCGGGATGAAGTGTGAGTAATATGAGGAGAAGAGAAGTTCAGATGAAAACCGACATCGCGAGGTCGACGTGACTCCTCGTCGAGTCTTCCCAATTTGGAAAGCACTCTACAAACAGAATTGGAAGGCACTTCTGCACCACGAAAGACCTTCAGTCCGTGCCATGCAGCTGATTGACATACATCACGGCCGCTTCATTTTCATTTCAAGGACATGATCTAAGCTTAATCTCATTTTGGAAGACAATCTTCAGTGCAGGGTCCAGCGATGTTGCACCGGATGACTTTAGAGTGAAGCCGGCTCAGGTACACGGGCTCGGCCGAGGATAGGGACAGGTTTCTAGGCTCTGAAGTTCAGATGATGAAACTGCATGTTTCTTAGATAGGACTGGTGCATTGTTGGAACTTTGACATTCGTTATTTTTGGCTACGGCAACTGGCTGGGGATTGGAGAGAAGATTTTGCTTGGAAGGGACATTATGTTTTGAAATACTCGGCGACATCTTTGAAGTAGCCCGGCTAATCATTGTCGAAGCCTTACATCTGTTCTGTTCTATGGGGAAGTCCCTACTACCAATGATCTATCTTCTGTCTGGGATGTTGGAGAACGAGCATCGATGTTCATGGAACGTAGCGTCCTAAAGGCAATGGCCTCGAAAGAGCTGCATTCATTTGGCAGCGGATGATTTGAAGTCTGACAACAATAGGACATACCTCTCGAAGGTACCCCCATGCGGCCAATAAGCCCCTGAGCAGGCTGGTGGGGTCTTCAACTTTGGCTTTTTTGTGCTGTCGACCCGAGACTGAACCCATAGCCATGGCCCCGAGAGATAGCTTGTCGAGTTCTCGGGCGGTTCCACTTGGAGTAGTTTTCGAGTTCGCCGATGTGAGATGTGCTTTGTGGCTGGAAGGTTGACTCTCCTTCACCAATTCAACTCCCCCTTTGGTATGCCCATAATCTTCTGCATCGAAGTGACCGACTCGCTAGCAATCTCCTTTGTGGGAACTGCGTCTTTCCTTGAGACAATATCCTTTGCATCCGACCCATCAAGGTCATGCTCCACATCCATGATTCTCAGATCCAGTCCCCATCTCTTAACTTCAGCATCAACAATGCCGTCCCACTTCTTCACAAAAGGATGCGCCCGAGCAACATCCTCAAACACAACATCTTTCCCCTCTGCGTCGCCTGGTACCTCAAATATCCATATACCATCCTCACCCCAGTATTTCCTCCCAAACACACTCTGTGTCTTCAACTCCTTCTGTGCCTCCGCAAACAGACTATCCACCCTCTTCCTCTCCCCATCCCACTGTTCCCCCTCCACAGCCTTCACAGCAGCCAATATTCCCTCCAACAACCCCAAAACCTTCCCAATCCTCAACCCCAAAACAGCGCCCAATCCATACCCCTCATCAAACCCCACCTGCACACTCTCTCCCTTCCCCTTCGTAACACCATCCCTATAACCCTCTGTCTCATGCTTCTCTTTCAATCTCGGTATGTCTGAATATTCATCATTTGTATGCCGGTCGTGATTCGTGTCCCGATCGAGGTCGAAGGAGGGGCTTGGAGGGGCAGAACCAAAGACGTCGTCTAGATCATCGTTCGCATATGTAGCTTCGTGTGAAAGGTGCTCGTCTTCATTTAGGTCATGCTCTACATTAGATCCATAAGGCGAAGGCATCGGGAACGCATCATCGTCTCTTAGCATCTTTGTCATGAGCATAACAATGTGGTCTTCAAAATTACCCCGCCATCTTCGAAAATTTTGGCTTCATCTTATCTAATCTCAACCCGAAGATCTCCCACCCCACCTACTAGCTCCCCTTCCCCTTTCAAACAGTCACGGGAACCCACCGTCTACAAACGAACAAGAACTCACCCTTCTCGTCCGTAAATATTTAAATAGCAAAATTCCAGATAAACTCTAAAGCAATGTTGGAGTAGTGGTAAGCCTCTTCTCTCCGCGTTCAGAAAATGTCGACTAATAAATAATAGGTTAACTTGTTCCCTTCCCATTTTTGAATGAAGAGGGAGAGACTCGGGTTCGAATCCCGGACACTGCGTTGACTTTGGGTTATTTTTATTTATTTTTTGATCTTCTTGGGCTTTTGGAGATAGGTTTGAGATTTTACCTTGTTTGTTTTGTGGTTCTTTGGGTTGTTGATGAAGTTGAAGTTGAGGCTCGCTTCTGTTTTAGGAAGGAACAGTAAAGGTGACCCGAGTGATGGAGGTGTTCTTTCCTCAACAGCACTACTTTAGGCACCATTGTAGGTCTCGTTTGCTTTCATCTGATAGCTGATATATAGTATATTCTACCTCACAAAGTCATATACCTTCTTTCTTCTCGCAACACATCGGCTCTGGTGACAAGATCACACTCATGTCTTAGCATCCACCTTGTCTTGACTTGATTTGGGGATGTGTTGCATGCAAGTAGAATCTAACGAACAAGGTTGATTCAAATCTAACTAGGAGTTGTGGGCAAGTATTTTATCATGCTTTGCATGTCATCTCGCATTGTTTTCGCTGAAGAAAGAACTGGAATCATATACTTTCGGGTCCTGGGCTCAGATGGAGCAATAGCAACAACAATGGAGTTAACGCACATTTCTCTTGATGATGCATTCTTTCAACCACGACACCTTTATAATACTTAAACTTGTATAGGCAGAAAACTAAATCTACCACTCGGTATTCGGTTCATGCAAACCAATTCATCCTAAATTCTGAATGAGGAATTGGTGGGAGTCTCCTGGAGACTGATTTCAAAAAATCATGCTAGCATAGCATGTATTCAAGTTATAGCACTCGATGTCAATGAAAAGATCCAACCTGATTCATTCACCAGGGTGTTCACTAACGCCTCTAAGCTCTGAAGTTTGCGAACTGCCCAACTCTGAAAAGTCATGTTTGCAATCATCCAATGAGCTAACGAGAAGGAGACAAGCGATGGTTGCACTGTTCCAATTCATCCCAATCGGCCAATTCTGTACAACCTGAAAAGGAACTTCCCATCAAATGTCCTGACTTGAGGTCCATTTAGGGGTTCGAAGTCTACTCCTTACAGGCCCTATTAAATGTTAATGAGCAATGACCAGTGTTTAACTAGATATAGTAAAATACCGCGCGAATCTTGAACAGGTGATTGGTTTAGCCATCCCTTAAAGACACGGCTACAATTAACATTTAAAAGCCCTGTGGGTGGTATTCCTAGCGCTGATGGACCATCCGAGACCCCCTGAACATCGCCGAGCTGCCCCACCAACGATCACCAAAGCTTTCAACCTCACCCCAGATATCTCATAACAACGAAACGAACAACCCTCACAAAAATATCTTTGACTTCAAAAAAACTCTTTTTCATGTTGTCAAAGCCCCTTTTCAATAAGCTCTCCACTCAGCAACTTCGGCCAAGTTCCAGCGCATGGTCCAGTGGCGTTCCTCTCCACCATTCAGCAACCACCAATCTGAACCCCTCCCAAATTATCCTTTTTATCCTCCAATCACAACCCAAGACTCCTCTCCCTGTCAGAATTGACTTCAATTCCAGGTCTAGAAAAGGCGTTCCCCGCACGGTAGCCTTTTGGCTTTTTTCAGCTCGATCGAATGTCTGGTTGGTATCGCCATATGTCACCCAATAATTCGAGGATCATGGCGTCGAGTACATAAAGCCCAAGCTCCCATTTCTTGTTCCTGAGCTTCTTGCGATCTTGCAACGTTCGTTTATTGTTCTTATACTACCAAACTACACTATACCATAATCAATTCCACGACTCACGTCGGGGTGGCATTCGCTTGAGATATTAGAAAGGAAAGGCAATATGAAGGCATTCGTTTCAGCTGTGGTGCTTGTGGCTGCGAGCCTGGTGTCGGGACAGAATTTCGGCGCGGAGCCGAGTTGTGCTGTAAGTGCTACCTTCAGCTTTCATTCACCCAAACAATTATACTCTTTCGTCCCATTATGTATCCAAACAATACGTCTTCTTCGTCCCAGCATCAATTAATGCAAAGCTGTTTCGGGAGCTCGCATCACTCCACAATCCCATTTACCCCCCTTTCGCAAACCACTTGTCCTCCTGTCGTTCCTTCACTGTCTCCCTCTCAACAATCAACTAACCACTCTCTCCAGATACCCTGCCTAACCTCAGCAATCTCAGTCGCAGGCTGCGCCCTCACCGACCAAGCCTGCCAATGCGGCACCGGCAAAGCAGCAATCCAAACCGCCGTCACCCCTTGCCTATTGACAGCCTGCAGTCCAGGCGACCTCGGAATCGCCGCCTCAGTCGGCGAAGGCCTCTGTTCCGCCTACTCATTGACCGCAACCAGTCTCTCCGTAACCACCACCGCGACCACCTCTCTCGCCTCTTCCTCTTCTGCTCCCTCTTCTGCTCCCTCTTCTACGATCGGCATTTCGACACCGAGCGCGACAACTACGAGTACAGTGACTGCTGTCACGACCAGCGTGGCAGCTACGACGAGCAAGGCTAGCACATCGAGCACGAGCGTGAAGAGCAATTCGACAAGTTCTGCGACCAGCTCAGGGACGAGTTCGGCACCGAGTGTGGTGAGCTCTGCTGGAGCGGGACACTTGATGGGTGTTGGGGTTGGAGGAGTGGTGGGGATTTTAGGGGCGGTTGTTGCTGCTTTGTAAATGGAGAATACAATGAGGATTGGAGGATGATAATGGGACGAGATGCTGGGGACATAGCATTGCGAGAAAGTAAATGGAGAAGTAGGGGGGAGGAGGAGGATGATAATGAGGAAGTGCGGACCGGGGCAAACCTCACTCGGATTGTTTGGATAATGGTGTTTCGGTGTTGGATCAACTTTTTCATGGAATGGATATCATACCTTCAAGACCAGCTTATAGCTTTACATAGTACGTCAGTGAGAGGTTTGCGGTCATACTCATCACCGTTTTCGTATTCATCCCATCTATGTATCTCCATACTTTCCCTCACGCTTCACCAAGGCAACTGCAAAGGCGTAGGAAGCGTCTTCGGATCCCCCATCGTAACATCCGCCGTCCCGATATCCCCTACAAACAATTAGCACTTCTCTCCCAACCTTCCTCTCTTGGAGTTCAAACTCACTCGGCCCTCTAGGCGCCCAATACTGCCCACTCTTCCCCATATCTAGTTTCTCCGTCCACTCCACCAGACTCCTCGCCGCCTCGTCCGGCGTCACCGCGCCCCCATCATCCCAATACTTATCAAACCCGACACCCTTCGTCATCTCCGTCCTCATAAATCCCGGATGCACAATACTTATAATAACTCCATCATCGTGAAGGTCTAGAGAGAGGAGTTTGCCAACCATGTTGAGGGCGGTTTTGGAGGCGTGGTGAGCGTAGTTTCCTCCGCCTTCTTTGGCGTGGCGGAGGAAGATGGAGCCAGATTCGGAGGAGACGAGGAGGATTTTGGAGTTGCGGGCGATGTGTTTAGAGCGGAAGAGGGAGTGGACGATGAAAGGGGGAGAGATTGCTGATGTTGCTGGAGAGCTTGTCAGTATTTTTCTTGGGCAATGGCAGATTAGTGACGCTTCACTTACTGTACATCTTAACCTCCTCTTCCCATTTCGGCCCATTCGCCCAGTCTTCTGTTGCGAAATAACCTGCTGTAATGATCTGCCATCAATCAGCCCTTTCCTATTCATCTCAATTCCCTTCTCTTAATCTGCTAACTCACCACAACATCAAAAACCCTCTTTCCACCCTCCACCATCCCCCCTCCCCCACCAAGCGTCCCCAACTGATTAACCAGCTTCTCCCCCACCCCCTCCACACTAACATCAATATTCGGAACCCAAACAATCTTCTCATCCAATCCCTTCGGTCCAGTCGCTGATCTCGTTGTACCAAACACCGTCGTGTCCTCCTGGCTTGCATATGCATTTGCCAAAGAGGCGCCTAGGCCGCGGGTTGCGCCTATGATCAATACGTTCGGCATGTTGATTTGTTGTCGAGGTAGAGGTTAGGACGAAAGATAAGATGAAGGGTGGAGAGATGGAAAGGGGAAAGGAGGAGTTTTGAAGCTGGAAGGAAGTTGGAATACGTTTCGTGTTGGAGGGGCAGACGATAAGCCGATAACGAAATTTGGTGGGGTTGTTGAGCAATCGCGTTTCAGGGCTGGGATGGCGTGACGAAGCCTGTGGAGTGGCGAGGAGATGCCCTGGAGGTTCTTGTTTTAGGCTGTTTTGTGCTGTTTTTAGGGTATCGCTTCTAAAGGTCTGCGCTAAACATAGGAAAGGGGAGAGGAGGACGTCTTCGTCGTTCTCAACTTTCTCCCAATACTACTAGACGCCTTTCTTTTTGATGAACGGGTTTTGAATGGAACAATCTTCGCAGTGTAGTCTCTCAATTATGTCGTAGTCAAGGTCCAGTGGCCGCCCGCCTCTGGTCTCAGCGAGATTGATCAGCAATGTGCACGAAGCCATGAACCTCGTCAACAACAAGGAAGAAAGCTTGGATGGGATAAGTTTTGCAATTTTGTTAATGCTTAATCGGCTTCTGTGGTCTAGGAACAAAGCAATCAGTTTAGAGTTATCTATTCCTCGACGCAGCAGCTCGAATCCTCATCAACACTCCACCTTTGTCGCAACGAAGCTCTCTGAAAAGAGCGCCAATCCTGGTTACCAAGTCATATCAAGTCAATTCGACCTTCACTATTTTCTGTCTGAATCACAGAATTATTCTTCATTTCAGCATCGAACTGAGGTTCAAGATCGATGTCTTCCACTTCCGAGTGAAGACCCTGGTTCCGGACAACCCAGCATCCGTAGCATTCCTATCAAACATCTATCTTTCGGCCTCTGAAATATGTTTGCCAGAATCTACCCTACCGCGGGCAAGGGGCTGTTTCAGGTCAGCTAAAGCAACTCGAATGGAAAGAAAAGCTCACGGTGGGATAGGGACAAGTCGCATCTTCAACCGCGCATCCGGGAAAGCACTCGTCGGCATCCATCAACGGTGAAATATATGGCTTATCTGCCATACGGCGAGGGACTATGTGTCGTCTATGTAGTCCACTAGAACAGGACATCTAAGGTTGAAGCCGAGTAGAGT